AAAATTTAACAAATTTTTTAAATCCTTTCAGCTAACACAGAGAAAAGGCAGAAAAAAATGACATAGGCAGTTTGGAAAGGCTGAAGTAAAAAATGTATTTACTGATTACAACTGTTTATATCTATAAAACTGTGTCATCAATCAGAACAAATGAATCCAATAAGGTTTTACAATACAAGTGATTATAAAAATGAAATGTATTTATAAATGATGGTAGTGGAAAAGCAGAAATTAAAATTTAAAATGTAAGCCAATTTTATGAAAGATTTTGATAAAGATAGATTCTAAAATAAGAAAATAGAAAGGACCCATAAGTGTCAAAAACATAGACTTGTAATGGGCTGGGGAGATGGCTCAGTAGAATAAGTGCCTGCCTAGCAAGCACGAGGGCCTGAGTTTAATTCCTGATTCCGAAAAAAAAAAAATAAAATAAATAAAATAAAAATAAAATAAATCACAGGGCAGTGCCAAATGATGCTCAGGACCCTGTATGTAAAAGCATAGACTTATAACACCTAATTTCAAGATTTATATTAAGGTAGTAATCAAGACTGTGTAATGCTGACATAAAGATAAATAGATCACTGGGGATATGTATCAGTGGCATAAGCACCTGCTTGGCAAATGCAATGTCCTAAGTTTGATTCTCGGTACCAAAAAAAAAAAAAAAAAAAAAAAAAGGATAAATGGATGAATGAAGCAAAATAGAGCCCAGAAAAAAAATCAGTATATACAGTAAATTAATTTTTGACAAAAATGTTAAGGCAATTCAATAGGACAAAGATAATATGTGTTCAGACAATTGGATAGCCAATACATAAAACACTAAACCTCAAGCTTTACTTCTCAATATATACAAAAACTCAATCCACATGGAAATATGATACCTCCATATAATAGATAAATTATTTAGCTTTCAATAAATATACATGGCTGCAAATAACAATGCAGAAACTGTCACAAAATTTTGCTGAGTGAAACTAGCCAAATTCTATTCGGTATTCCAATACAATTATATAAAATGCAAGACTATGTACCTAACACACATTGAGCGCAGGTCAGTAGATGTGTAGCAATGGGGAAGTTGGGAGAATGGAGGGTTTTTGAGCAATATATTTGTCACCTTGAATATTTTGAAGGTTCATAATTGTGTCATTGTCAAACATCTGTAGTTTATTGTACGTTCAAAAAATCCTACCACAAGGACATATATGTGCATTTTATTAGAGAAAAAATAACGTGCAAAAATATTTTTAAAATAGTCCTATGAAAACTGTGCTCAGCGTACTGAATGGGATTCCCCCACCCAGTCGTATTACAGCAATGTAATTACTCGCTCTGAGATTTCCCTTTCTGAGTATTTGTTGTTTTTTATTAAAGTTTGCACTGTTTTGATAATAATGTATTTTTAAAGTTTTTATTAGTTCCAGATTCGCTAAGATCTCTCCAAAAATCAAACATTTCATACCTGCACAGGTGAGCGGATTGTTATTTTCTTACTTCCTTCCACTGCATCAATTTGACAAACAATAGATCTTTCAACTCCAGATTCTCTGTGTCTTACAGTATACAGACGTCGTCCCACTTTTGTTAAAGGAATTTTATCAGCAGTAGAATGGTTAACAGGTGCTAAATTAAAAACATATGTTGAAAATTTTTATAATTCACTATATATTTATTTTAGGAATACGGTAAAAACACTAAACATACTGATTATCTTAAACTTTAGGTCACTGAAGTCTTTGGATGTAGCCCATACCAAGGGATACTTTAACTAGACATCACTTACTGGAAAAAAAAAAAAAAAGAAGACACCACTTATTTCCACAGCACTGACATTTTTAACTGGGAAAAAAAAAATTCAGGACTTTAACCTAAAATACCAAATTGTTTAAATCAACTGAGTAATGAGAATTATAAAATTCAAAACCAATAATCTTTGGTTTGCTGTCACAATTACCAGACCCTAATATTTTCACACATTAGCAAACACCAACATAACTATTCCTCAGTTTTTAACTTTTCTAACTACCTGTTTCACTTTTTAGATACAACTCAGATTTGATTAAACAACTTTTGAATATATATTCCTATTAGAGACATTATATTTGGAGTAAAATTACTTCCTTGGATAAATTTTATTCCTACATCCATATAAAACAAAGAAAAATGAAAAAACAAATAGACATAATATTGATAAAAAGAACACTGGCAATGTGTTTCAATACCTAAAACACCTGCCATGCTTGATATTCTGATGAGGAGAACTAGCTATGTTATAACAGCCTGCCTCCCTATTCCTGGGTAAGCTTTAAATAATACTCCTTGCCTTGGTAATTACTTAAATGTCAGACTATCAGAATGTCCTACTGGTGAGAATTTGGGTTATTTCAATTCATAATGGCTAGAAGTTATGATAATTTAAGAATGTATATACTTTCACCTTCCATAAAAATGAAAACTTGTGGGTCAGAAAAGATAAAGAACTTGTGCCTCAGTAGGCCAAACATTAAAAAAAAAATTACACATCTCAAAACCATTTGTTTGCATGAATCCAAACTTTTGCGAATTCATTCATCTATAAAATTGGTCAAATATGTTCCATGAGCGTGTTTATGATGCTATAAAAGCTTGGAAGGTCTAGTATTTTTCTTTCCCATAGCAGCATGCTCTAATGTAAGAGATTAGAAGTAAAAATGTGGGATACAAACAGTGACAAAAGGAATTAAGGCACTGCAAAAGAAAAAAAGGTTCCTAAACCTATTACAAAAGAAATGTAAGAGCAAAACAAACTAATAAACTGTAAAATACTACAAATGTAATATGGTATACAAAATGTAATGAAAACAAAACTTCCAAAGGAAATATATCACTTACTAAGAAGAATGAAGAAGAGTTTGCTGCTTAAACTGGTCATTGCACTGAAATGATCGTTGTCCTTAGTTCCTACATAATCCATACTTAAACTCTCTTCATTTTTCAATGTATATGATTTTGCCATAGGAACACTGAGTACATTAAAAGCATCACTTGGTGAAACTGATATAGTAACTCCAAGAGAATTCAAAATTATAAATGGTGCTAGATCCCTTATGAAGACAGTTGAAGATCCAGTAGCAGCTTCTGTAAATGCCTAATAAAGAAGAGTTTCCTTAAACACATGAGGAAAATGAAATGATATGCAGAACATTAAGGGGTGTGAGACAACTACGTTAGTGATGAATTTAATAAAATCGTCAACATAAATGTAGTATCTCGACATTTAAAGTTTCACATTTCTTACCTTGACTAAATTATTTAACATTACAAGGCCACATTTGGATAATGTAATGTTTAATTGATCTTTTGAATAGAAACTGATGACAGTTTTATACTCTGGCACTTTGTAGTTTTCTTCTTCAGTATCTGACTCAACAATGGCCTTTTTGGGTTTCTTTTTCATCTAAAATTATAAATTATATAAGAATTTGTATCTAGGAGCACAAAATCACTCATTCTGCACAGTAAACAAAACAAACTTTAGCTAAATTATTGGAGAAAACATTTAAATGTTATGTTTCATGTCTCTACCAGATATGCCAACTGAGGTCACAAAGGACAGGGAGGAACAGTATTGCATTAGAAAATAATTCTCATCCTCAGTGATATGCCAAGCACAATTTAGGAAAAAATATCTAAAATCAAAGTTTATGTAGCATTTGAATGTAAACTGAAAGCACATATTTCACAGTGAGATACAGTGTCATTTGGTCATGCTAATAAAAACCAGACACCTAAGTACTTAGAAAGGCAGACAAAAGTGGCAAAATATTATGAACACAGGACTTAGGAATTTAAAATTAATAAATTCACTGCACATGTATAGTAAAAAGCATCAAAACAAATTCTTCTTCTAAATTCATCTATAATATTTAGAAAATTAAATTACCTACTACAGTAAGGTACACATGCTAAACTAGGGACTTCTGTTGTAACTTTAAGCCCGTGAAAATTTTCAGGTTGAGTAAATCATTCTTAGGCAGAATCCATGCTGGTAATTCTGTAATCTCTTGCTTTAGAAGCAAGACTTTCACTTGAAGGCTCTGGGTCTTATAATTACATAAATTCATAATACATTTCAAGCAAATAATACACCTTCTAGATAGTCCTTTCACAGGACGAAGAAAAATAAGGATAAACTGCAACCTACCAAATGATACATGCTAATACGACATAACATAATATAGTATCTAAGAGTAGAGACTGCAATTGAATTTACACTTTACCTCTTCCACTATGTAGCTATTATTGTACCATATTTCTTTAGGAAAATCCATCAAACTCTGGTGTTATTTCCATTTTACATTCAAGTGTAGATAAATTATATCCTTCAGGGTTATTGTAAAGGTTACAGCAAAGCTACACTATTCAAAACAATGTCTAGTCCATAATTAACGTTATAGAATTATCTGTATAGGTTAGGTAGCACTGGCCTTGGATTTCCAAACTATAATATGCAGCAGAGGTCAAATATGGAACCACATATGGAAGACTGACAATGAGAAAACTTCCGCACTGTGAGTAAAACTAAAGTGTCTAATGTGACAGGTTTTTTTTTTTTTTTTTTTTTAATTTCAATATTTCAGCCATCAGTACTTTGATAGATACCGGTAAAGAAGTTATACATGCACAAAGGTAAAATC